TGAATAACGCAGCTGCTTGTTCCTCTACGCTCGAAGAGGCTGCCTTTGTTGCTGCCTTTGCTGCCTCTTCATACGAGTCCACAGCAATCAGAGTCAATAAACCCTTCAACCCAATGCTAGGGGAGACCTTTGAATGCGATAGAAGAGCAGAGTATGGCTGGAGAGTCCTGTTTGAACAGGTCAGGAGAGAGAGAGAGGGAGACAGAATGAGAGAGAAAGAGGCAAGAAAGATGTAAATGTACATGTACGTGTACATTTACATTGATAATTACAATGTACTGTGTAGGATGTACATGTAATTTTGATTCAAGATTTACCTGAAATTTTAAGAAAATTTTTCTGAAAATCTTTTAAATTTTAACATTTTGATGACTGATATTACATGTACATGTACATGTATAAAAGCATTAAAAGTATTGAAGTATTAAAAGTATAATTTTTACAATTATTAGGTTAGTCATCATCCTCCCATGCTGGCAATGCATGCTGAACACAAGGAATGGACTTTATGGCAGGAGTACACTCTAGCCAGCAAGTTCCGTGGGAAGTATATCCAGTGTTTTCCTGTGGGTGGAGTCCATCTTATCATCCATCGTTCCGGTAGCCATTATACCTGGAATAAAGTCGTCACTACCATACATAACATTATCGTTGGTAAACTGTGGGTTGATAATGTGAGTTATTTTAAAGTTATTTTTAAAGTTAATTTTTAAAGTTACTTCAAAATCGGGCCAAAGTCCCTGTACTATAGTACAGGGTCACAGGCCAAATTCTGCCAAAATTGAAAAGGAGAGGATTTGAAATTTTAATAACTTCTCTGATACAAATACATGTACATGTTCTTATGTTCTGTAAAAAGTTTGAGCTGATTCCAATGTAATTTGGATTTTTTTACAAATTTTTAAAGTTGCTGCCAAATCCTGTAGTAGTAACATACAGTACATGTATACTGTACATGTAAATGCCACACAAGAGCAAAATTTCCCAGTAACAGTAATACACATGTACATGTATTTATGTATTTAATGTATTTATTCCTTTTCCAAGGCTGGTGAAATGACCGTTCTCAATCACACAACTAAAGAAAAATGCGAAGTCAAATATCATTCCTATAGCTACTTCACACGAGAAAGGCAAAGAAAGGTTTGTTCTACTATTAAAAAACCATACTGGTAACATTCTCTCTTTTATTCTCAGATTACCGGACACTGTTTTGATAAAGATGGAACGCCCCAATATGTGGTGAGGGGATACTGGGACGAGTATCTCGAGTGTGCCCCAATACTATCCTACAATGGGAAGAACCCAGTCACAGGCCCTGCTAGAGAAATGTGGAGAGTTTTTCCAAGACCGTAAGAAAAGGAAATAGAGGATGAGAGAGAAAGAGAAACGTTTATTTCTAATGCTCTTTTTCGACTTAATCT